AAGTTCTGCTGAGATTGTTGCCTCAATTACATACTAACTAAATAAAGTCAAGATATCTGTGTCAGGGGCCAGTTCTTAAGTACTGGTAATTACTGAGAATAGTAAACTGAGAATTTGAATGCTCGACATTTCATTGTAATGTAATATTTAAAACTGTAGTATATTCTTTTACCAAAGTGAAGGTGAAGTTTTTTCCCTACTTTTACATTCTTATCAATTTTTAAATAGGTATTTGATGATTACAGGATGATGTTACTCTTTCCACTGTGTCATATTTCAGTGTAAGCTTTGAATCAAAGGCCCAGTTCAGAGTTAGCCGTAAGAACGAGTGCCATATACTGTAAATGTCACCCTGCCATAAATCTGCAGCAACATGTGGACAAGTCATTGAGGGTTATAGTGAGTGAGAACCGCCCTGCCCCCGACATTTTGTTGAATTAACCGAGAACCCCAACGCCTCTCCTTTTGTTTGGAGTGGGGAGTTCCCTCATGAGTAGGTAGGTGAGTGCTTACTAAAAACAAAATCCTTTACCCTATGAATAACAGCAGGTAATATTAAATGGAATTATTTAAATGCTTGACACGCCCTGCATGTCAAGGAAATTATTGAAAGCCGTTTTAGACAACTGTTCTCCAAAGCACTGTGTTAAGTGGCTGAATCTGGTTTATCTAGTTCAAACTATACTCAAACTTATAATCTAGCCGTTGTATAATTTGAACTAGATCTTTTGCCCTTTAGTTTTATAGGAATAATTTTCTCATCTTGTGTCACATTTTTCATTCAGACTTCATATTTTATGTCAGACTCGTAGATTCTAAACTTGTGAAGATTTCTGTTTTCTAACAGCTGATTGTTTCTTACTTTCCTCCTATCATTTCAAAGGACTTTATCAGCAGCTTTCATGCTATAAAATCTCTCTGCAGGTTTTATAAGAGTCTGCAGGTCCAGGCTAAACAATGCAAAACAACCACCGTTACCAATTAACTCAGAACAAAGTCCACAGTCAATGTTCCCCTCCCTTACCTCAGTATGTGTGGATTTTAAAAGAGTTGCATAACAGTGTGACGGATAGAGCTCACAGCTGAAGGCCAGGGGAGGACACTGCCCACTGCAAAGAAACCTTTGAAGGGGGTTGTGCCCATGAAGAGTCAGCTATGTATGGAAAGTAGGTCACAGAGGGGCTTCTGTAGGTCACACACAAGATAGAAGACAGACACATCTCCATATATGTCTGGCTGCAGAGGCTTGGATTGTAAATATGTCATTGAGATAATGAATGTACAGTGGGCTGTCCTGGAGCGAGGAATGGAAATACATGAAAAACAAAAGCTGCCACGTTCCGTCCCTTTTCTCACACACACACACACACACACACACACACACAGAGAGAACTGGACGGACCAGATGGTCCCTCCTCACACTCCTATTGGCCAGTCACAGTTGTTATTGGGTGTTAAAGACCGAAAGTAAATGAGAAAAAGTTTCAAGGGAATTTGAAAAGTCTGACGTGTCTTCTGAAACTCACCCACGCAAAGTGACGATGGAAATAAAAGAGGAACACTGAGTGAGAAGTGGAGCTCTTATCAAAGACCTTTCATACAAACGGCAAACTCAAATCTCTTTTCTCTTTCCTGTGTTGCCAAGTTTTTTTCCCCATCTGGATCAGAGGGACAGCTTGACACTGCACAAAGAAGAACACAGAAACTAAACAAGATGTCATTTCAACTGTTTTTAAAATGTAGAAATAAAAAAATTCTCAGTTGACAGATTTAGTCCTGGTAATTACTGAGAATAGTAAACTGAGAATTTGAAGGCTGAACATTTCATTTTAATGGAATGTTTTAAACTGTAGTATAAACTTTAACCAAAGTGAAAGTTGAGTTTTGTCCCTACTTCTGTTATTAGAATATTACCGGAACATTAGACTGTGTTTAACACATTGTGTTCAAACTGCTCTGATGGAGGTTGAATGAGTTGTTGCTGTTGCTCTCAGTTGTTTTCTGGGAACTTGAGACTTTCAGCTCTTTCTTCTAAACTCAATTTAACAATTATAGCCACCATATAAATGTTTTCTAGTCACCAATATTGTTAAACACACAAATGTTTGACTATATAATGCTTTGCAAAAGCATTTAGACACTTATTATATACATTTATACTATGGGCATGAAACTTCCCAATCTTTATAAATCTATAAATAATAATATGTGAATTTTCTGTTTGTGTCATTGGAATAACTTCACCGTTGAAGCAGTTAATTGAACTGAGTTGAATTGAACAGCTATTAATATCATATAAACCTCCAAAATTCGAAATATTTTAAAGTATTTTGTACTTATACTTATGATAGAAGAATTTTCTAAAACAATAAAGTCCTGAATAGAAATACAAGTCAGCACAAATCATTAGTATCCCTTTAAAATGGAACAAATAAAGGATTAAGTCTTGTACATTTTAATTTCACTTCTAATTTTAGTTACGCTGTTTAATATTCTAAACAGCACAATACAGTAGATAATCATGCTTTATTAAAGCGTTTAGAATGAAGTGATTTGTTTTGTGCTTTTCATACGGCTGATGTGATCCTGCTGTCTGTCTGGCAATCTGGAAATGAGGAGAGGAAATCTGATTAATTGCTTCAGCCTGAATCAATTGGAAACAGCAAAGCTTGCTTGATGTTTGTGTCCATGGTGATTTTCTAAAACAGGAGGATTGTGCAACAGGATGACGTAATCCATCTGATAATTGAGCATTTCAGGCTTGATTCCGTCCTGTTGTCTCCTGTGCTGTGCAGCACCTGGCCAGACAGTGACAGAGACGACATCTTATTTCTAATCTTATTGTAGCTGTGCTGTCTGCTGCTAATCACATTTCCTGCCTCCTGGCCTGCTGGATCCATCAGGTCAGAGCAGAAGACCTGATCACTGCAGCAGTTATCACTGTCTCATCTCAGGACCAGTTGTCTTTTGTTTTTGCTTTTGAAATCAATACTTGAATAACATGTAATCATAAATATCACAAATCATCTTTTTCTGACCCATTTTTTAAATCATTTGATATATTTGTGAGCCCCAGTTACGGTGTGTTGCAGCTGTTCTTAGATTGAAGCTGAAATAGGTTGCAAATTTGCCTCCAGGATGTGATTTTGTGACCTGATTAAATAGTTATTGAACTACTTGTGTGCTTTATTTATTTTTTCTTTTACCAAAGGGATATTAGCCAAATTAAATGGCCTTGATTGCAGAACAGATTGATTGTCGTGTTTGATTCTACATCTTAGAGGAATAGAGACTGAAACATTTAAAAGACTTTTAACTCAGCATTGTTTACATGATGCACCATGCCACATTACAGAGTCAAGTCATGTCCACTATAGGTCAGGGCTGCTTAGCATTGCCCCCTGTTGTACTACAAGTTGTATTACACCCTGGCCCTGAGGTTGTGGCTTCATCGGGCATCTGTCACTAATGACTGGTGCAAAATTTAAGGCAAAATATCCAAAAACTTCACAGATAGCTCACGGACGTGGGCCACTTCTGGCAATGATGCAGCACTTCTGGTCTTTTGCCCCGGACAAACTGGATGTGAGTCCAAAATAGTCCACATAGCAATAGCAAATGTGGTCTTAATATCCCAAAACTACCGTGGGCCTTATTTTGGCAAACATGCAATGCTCTAGAGAAGGTGTAATCTGGATGTGAACCTTAAGTAGCCCATGTGGTAAATGGTGAATATGGCCCAACTTCAATAAAACAAATTGGGCGTCTTTGGCACCTTTGGTTTTCAAGTGGTATTGCTTTCGATTACCTTTGGCCCAGATCTATCAAACCATCATTCCACATGGTGTGTGAGCTGGATGACGGTGTAATAACAATTTTGTTATTTTGGTTGTGAATTTGCAAGTAAACCTCCATATTTTCTTAGATTTAACTTTTAAACTTGTTATATTATATTAAATTTAAAAACATTTTAAATGAATGGTTAAAATGCCGCTATTGATTCCAGGGTAAAGAATTGGTTAAGAAAGTGAGACAGTAGATGAATCAAATGTCTCTTTATAGTGACACAAGTGCAAACTAGCTTTATCATATCATCTGTTCAATGCACACATTTACAATCTTTAAACTAACATGGCCGACATGATTTAAAACCCCTATTCATTATCTTGCCAGTTCTTCCATGCAGAAGCAATTAAGGCACTCTTGTAATCCCTCAACATATGTGTTTTAAAAATAGCATATGCCATGTGATCCTACACGGAAAGGACATGTACATGTGATGGCAGATACTCAAATAAAGATGGAAGATGGTGGAGAGTCATTAGCAAGATAGGTGGAAGGAAAAACTGGTGCTGAGTAGAAATAATCCAATATTAAGACATTTTTAGCTAAATTGAGTAGGGGGGGGAAATAAACTATAAATAAACCACGCTATTCATTTGAAGATAAAAGTTTAAGTTTGCTGATTCATTCGTTTGGTTCATTTTCTGTTCATGATGGAAATTCTCTCAGATTTAGGAGTCCTGCCTATCAACAGTTCTTCTGAACCTTCTTTTTATCGACATGTTTTTCACACCCAGCATCCGACACCCGAGTACATCTCTAAGTGCTCTCCTCCCCAGCGTGCACGACCCCGTCTGCTTGGAAACAAATTGATCGTGAAGGACACAGCACCCTGAAGTGTGTGAATTTGTGACGGGTAGAAGCGCCTCAGCTTTATCGAATCAAACAGAAGTTGACTTCATGGCTTTAGTTTTTGCACAGTCTCCAGCTGTGGTCATCAGACTTCAAAAGAACATCATTTGGCATCTTTCATCTCCCTCTGTTTCTCTCTCTCCCTCCCTCTCTCGCTCTCTCTGCCTCTCCCTCTTTCTCTCTGCCTCCCTCTCTCTCCCCCTGTCATCACAGCTACGCTTCATATCTTCTCCCCTCACTCATGCACTTTGTCACTAGTCTGTAGATTGTGCAGTGCTGTGGTTGTATTGAGAGAGACAGGAAATCAGATCAGTGAAACCAGAAAAGAATTCACAAGGTAAGCTCTCAAAAAAGGCTCTTATTTCATTCAAGATATTAAAACAAATCTGTGAAATTGTTATTCTCTAACTTTGCTTTAAAATGGTTGCAAATGTTATTAACAGATGATTTTAGATGCTTTAAGGAAACCATATTCTTATTTCCAATATACTACCTGTGTTCAATAAGTGCATTGGGGCAGCAGTTCGACTACTTTTGACCTATTTTTGTCGAGTTTCTTTTTTCTTTTTTGCTGCTACAAAACCATATATTTTGAGTTGTCATTTCACTGCTTGTTCCACAGGGGCTTGTAATGTTTTGAAATAATGTGGCAGGCTGCAACAGCAACTCAAGGGGTTGTTGCAACATCATGTGAATGTCGCCAGACATTTGACTGAAATGGATTGTCTGTTTGCTCCTTTTTCAGAAAATAAGTGCTTCCTGTGGGCACTGTTGCTGCTGCTTTCTTGAAACGAAAATGATTTTTATAAGATGGTTCAGAGTCAAAATCCAATCCAGTATATCAGGATTTTCACCACGAGGGAGAGAGAGGAAAGAGCCTGAGGTGGTGTAATATTCACAGTGCATGCAGCTATACGGCCCATAGTGCAACTGAAAAATATTGTCCCTCAAGTCAATAAGGGGCTCTCTGGAAAGTCATTTTATTAAACTACTTGAGCCCACATAAAGAACATATATATATTCTTCGCTTTCATAAGGTAATGTTACATTGGTGATGAAAAATAAGTGTCACTGGACACAGAGTAAAGGGAAAACAATGGAATGAAGGGCACGCTGACCTGAAATCATTCCCTTTGTCTATATCCGAGCACAGCAATCACTTATACTGCATCATATATAAGCCGACTACGTTCCTTGATCCATATCGATAACTTTTCTTTTATGAATTTACTCATTGCTCCGCACCTTCTTCTTTCAAAATGACTGTATATGTTCCATGTGTTTGCATCATGCTTCTTGCATGTAAACTATATTCCTCAGGTTTAAGCTGCTGTGTCCAAACTGTTACAGGTGAACATTCCAGTTTATCTCAGCATTATTGACTTTAATCAAATCCTCTGACATCAGCTCCACACACAGAGTTTAATCTATTAATTGCAAACTGGTGATGCACTCTGTTCAACTCAGTGGTGACCTTCACCCGCCCGTTAACTGCCCAGGTAAAATACAGTCCTGTCTGATTCCAAAAGAGGGCAGTGTTCAACCCCCCATGTGATAATATTCAGTGGTTTCACAGTTCAATTCATTTCATCCATAGTGGATATGGAAATATGAATGAAATATTCATTGTATGGATGAGCCGAATTAATAGGATTTCTCTGACTCTGTTTTCAAATGTGTGACTGATCTATGCAGAACAGTATTTTTCTCCCACGTATGCCAAGTGCATATATGGATTGCTTAAATAAAGTACAAATAGATAGAAATAGAAATATATCAGTTATAAAACCATTCTAATCCAGTTACTGTGCAACAAATCAAGTACAAGTTGCTCTAGATTCAACACAGGGGATAAAGGGTCAAGAAAAATCAACAAAGCAAATGTATTACAGGAGAATTAAGTATTGTTTAATATTAAGATTTGAAAGTGGAAATGGACCACATTTAAGATCATGAAGGTTCCATCCGTGTGCTGCAGCTGAAAGCAGCTTCACTATATGTTTCAACCTCAGTCCAGGTATAACAACATTATATATTTCCTGTTACAGAAACGTTTGAAAATTAAATCACAGGATTTGACTCTGAAAACAACCTAACTGGCTTTGTTCTTATTCTTCTTTTACACGATGTAAAGATGTCAAGATTTTTTAAACTAAATTGGATCTTGTTCCTTGAGGACATCTTTATGTCTGTCTTTTCATTTAACAGGCATTTCTCCCTATAATCATCAACTGACACAGCAATGATCATCGTCTGTTTGCTCCGACCTCTAAATGACTCTCAGCCATGACTCACAAATGTTAATGTTCCTTTTAAGCTCCAAGTTCAATATTGACAAAGAGAAAAGAGTAATCACATTTTCTACTTAACCACATCCTCCACATTTGAGTCTTTTTCCATTTGATGGAAAAACCTCAAGGTGAAGATTTGTTATACATCAAATAACAAGTAAAAATACACAATGTAAATCGATGCAAGTTTTCCTGTAGAATGTTGGTATTGCTGCTGTTTTGTTCCCTTTTCATTAAAGGTACAGTGTGTACAATTTTATGTGTTGAAATTGCATGTTGCAGCTGAACACCCCTCATCTCACCTTCCTCTCCCAAACATGAAAAATAACCTGTGGCAGCCTTCAGTTGTAATAAAAACTCAAAAGGTGTTTAGTTTGTCCAGTCTGGACTAATGTAAAAACATGGCGGCCTCTGTAGAGAGGGCCCCCTCGATGTAAATATAAAGTATTTAAATATAAAGGGTCTTTTCTGGGGTCAAGAAAACTACAATTTATACAGCTTAAATGAAACGAACTAGTGAAAACATCATGAGGATTATTCTACATTAAATTTCTGCCAATACTTCCCTTTCACTTATATCTCACACTGGTTTATTAAGGACATTATGATTATTTTATTATTCATCAGAAAAGTAGGTTTATGATTTTTTTTTGTAAAGAAAGCAGCTGTTGCATCACATCTTTGTGTAAAGAAATCATTTTATCAATTCATTTATAACAACTGTTCTACATTTTTACTTCAAAATTGTACATTGTTTACCAGCAATTTAGTTTCAGATACAATCATTAAAAGATCATTTTATTTTTTCCTAATATAAATCTAACAGTAGCCCAGAGGGTGGATGAAATGGAGGACTGGGATAATCCTGCTTCATTGGGATCCACAGAAGCCAAAGAGAACTCAGGTATGTGGCTATCCATACGTTTCTTCAGATGCATGACTCTCTTTTGTTATTAAATACCGCTAAGATACATTCACTACATGTGGGTTTTCCTCAGCGAACAGATCATGTGAGAAGCTGGAATGCTACATGGTCCTGACGCAAGCAGAGAAGATGGCGATCGGCTCCATCTGTTTCCTGGCAGGTCCGACCACACTGCTGGAAAACGTTTTGGTGCTGGTTGTGATCGCCTCCACAGCCTCTCTCCGCCAGCGACCCTCCTATCTCTTCATTGGCAGCCTCGCTCTGGCCGATGTCTTCGCCAGCTGCTTCTTCACCACAAGCTTTCTGGACTTCCACCTCTTTCGCCGCAGCGATGGCCCCACTGCCTACCTCTTCAAGCTAGGTGGTGTCACCATGGCCTTCACCAGCTCAGTGGGAAGCTTACTGCTGACTGCTCTGGACCGCTACCTCTGTATACACCAGGCCTCCAGCTATAAGGTGCTGCTGACCCGGCGGCGAGCCCTCCTGAGCATGCTGATCCTCTGGAGCGCCACCATCTTCATCTCCTTCTTGCCCCTGATGGGCTGGAGGTGTCCCACAGGCCTCACTTCACCCTGCTCACACCTCTTCCCCTACATCAACCAGGGGTATCTGGCCTGCTGGACCAGCTTCATCCTGGTGCTTCTGGCTCTTATTTTGGGGGCTTACGCTCTCATCCTGTGGAAGGCTCACCGCCATGAATTGTCTATGAACAGCATACAGGGACCAGCAGGGACAGGCCACAACCGCATGAGGATGGATATCCGGCTGGCTCGTACCTTCGGTCTGATCCTGTTGATACTCGTGGGCTGCTGGCTTCCGGCACTTTCCTTCATGCTAGCTGATGTCTCTGTGAACCTGACCCTCTCCCAGCAGAGGGCCTTTGCCTTTTGCAGCACCCTCTGCCTGGTTAACTCTGCAGTCAACCCACTGCTGTACGCCCTGCGCTGCAGAGAGCTGAGAATCGCCCTGTTGCAGTTACTACTGAGGCTTTGGGAGATCGGGAGGTGTAAAACATCCACAGAGGATTTAACTCCTGAACTGCCCTCTGCAGACGACAACAACTTTACTGCAATCTCCGAGGACGAGACGCCCCAGCTCAGAACCACACAACTCAACTCCATCTCTGGGATCGTCAACAACAATCAGCAGCTGGACGTCGGGAAATGAAGGAAGTGGAGAGCTGAATGGAAGAAGTAGCTAAAGACAAATATTTATAGAGATGTGCTTGTAGTGTAGATGATGACTCAAAAAAAACCTTACTGTTGATTAAGAGTCAAATCTACATGAAACCCACTTGGAGGATTCCTGATCATAAATAGCTTAAAGTGGTAATAATTGAATATGTCTAGTGTGGTAAAAATTATTTGACATTAAGTTCTAAATTTGTTAGTGGATAAAAGTGATGCCAAACATCAGAGAGTCTATGAAAACATGCAACATATTGTGTTTTACATTCAAATTTCAACAACTATAAAACAGAGTTTGTAAGTAATTAGTTTTTCTTAAATCAAAATTACAACATTTGGGATTAGTTAAATAATGTTTTAGCTATTATTAGTATGATACTCTTCTTGCAAATAGGATACAAGTAGTTTCATTAAGCATTATGACTGAAGGGACTAATTACTAGTAATATAAGTGGAGATAGATTGGTTTAGGTCAAGCAAAAGGGTTCAGTGTGTTGAGCTTTTTCAAGCGCGATGATGCAATGTGACCATCTAACCTTTAACCTTTGACCTCTCTGCCTCCTGTGTCATCAGTTTCAAGCTCCCACGCCTGTGAAAAATAGTTTTCTGTGAATTGAACGTTTGGGTGAACGATGTGTTGTTTGTATATGTTTATGTCTGAGTGTGTTTGTCCCTGAGCAAGCGAGAACAGAGGAGCCTCAGGGTTGCAAATATCCCATCTGCACATGAATGCCAGGACTCCACAAAAGCCCCCATGCAGGGGAGGATTTCACACAATGTTCACCACATGAATCCAAGCCGTGTGCCGAGGTAAATGAGGCACCGGCCAGAAAGAGAGAACAAGCACACAGGCACTAGAAAACTCTTTGCAACAGACAGTCGGCAGCTGCAGTATAGCACAAACTGACATGGACTTACACTCACAGCCGCATGTAGGGTAATAAAAAGGAGAATCACAAAAGTCTGAAGTCTTTATTGAGTATGTCTTCTTACTATTGATTATTTTATAACACTTATGTGTGGATGTACTTTTGTTACTTATCTGTGAAATCTGACATTTATTTCAGTTTATACACAATGATATAAATAATAAAGAAACTATAGAAAAGGTTATTACATATTTACCTTTGTTAAATAAAATGCAATGCAATATATGAGTTCTGCCATCTGAGAAAAAGGTCCAGGCTGCAGCTACTTCTTAAAATACATACAGACCTTTTTATAATACACAACTTACTGGACATCAACTAACATCACACTAAAGACATTGTGGCTACAGTATCCTGCACACTATCATACTAACATCATTTCTGATCATGCATTTCAGTTTTTATTTGTTCAATGTATTACATTTTAAGCATTTGATTACTTACAACTAATTATTAAAATGTTTGAAAATAATACAGCACAATAACACATTAATACCATCTATTAATAATAACATATGATTTATGCAGCTGGAAAAATATACACTAGCACCATAGTGGCTTTCTGATCATTTTGAATTTGTTTTACTGTAACTAAGTGTGTGACATGTTTAAATTCCTTTTCATACCTGTTGCATGAATTCACCTTTTGAGGTAAAATCTACTCACAATAACATTTTGGTACTTTTAGACAGTAAATGATTTCACCTATATTGAACTGAAAGCCAATAAAATCTCCCAAAAGAATATGATTAACATTGAATTTGTTGATTCAGCAGTTTAAGCTCTACAACAACTCCTTTTCCACTAAGGGACTTTATTCAGTCAATCAATCAAATTGTATTTGTATAGCCCACATTCACAAATCCCAAATTGTCTCATCCGGTACAACAAGGTGCGACATCCTCTGTTTTTAACCTTCGACAAGAGTAAAGCTACCAAAATAAAATATGAACAGGGGGGGAACCAAAATTACAATTACAACATTGATGATTGTAACATAATGAAAAAGTATTTGTACAGAAGAGAATGTCTGATAGAGATGTCCACTGTGTACTGGGTGTACTGGGGATTATTAACTGTTGCCTGGCTGCGAGTGAATAATAAAACATCCTTATTAGTCTCATTGTTAGTATCATACACCTCATGTGGGCACCTCCTGATCTACCTGCTCATCACCACCAGACGTCTCGTGAACCTTCAATTCGAGTTCAACGGAAGGAGATCCACAAAGCACAATGGGGGTTGGGTGACGGGAAGAACGCAGCGTAAAAACGGCAGAAATGATCACAGGAGCACAGCTGGACCCAGCGTTTATCACGAGACACTTTAAAAAACCAAGCGCGTGCAATGTACAGGATTAGTTTCATCTTGTAATGAGATAAATATCAAGCTGTGGATGTGCGAACACCCCCCCCTGGTCACTCTGATGGTAGGCTCCGGCATTGTGACGTTTTAAACGTTGCTCGAGCTCCAGCCAGAAAAGAAGATCCGTTGTTGTGAAGAGGAAGAAAGACTCAACTCTTCCGTGGGACGCGACACCGACCAACCGCCGCCGTTACACCCCGGTTCCTGCGGGTCTTTTTTCCCCCTCCAGCTCTGTTTGTTCAGCCCGTCTCGTCTCAGCGATCATGGCCTGCGGAGCGACGCTAAAGCGGTCGATGGAGTTTGAGGCCCTCCTCAGTCCCCAGTCTCCCAAGCGGAGAAGGTGCAATCCACTACCGGGGACTCCTGGAACTCCGTCCCCGCAAAGATGCAACCTCCGTCCGCCGGTGGACAGCCCCACGCACTCGATGTCCCCCCCGGCCATAGGAGGCGAGCACCGGCTCACCCCAGGTATGGACGTAACTCACGTTTGGCGTCTTTTTTCCCCTCTGGGTGGGTGTCATGGGGGGAGGGGGTTTGGGTGGAGTGGAATGGAGAGCTAGCTAGCTTGTTGAGATAATCAGAATGGGGGTTGGAGGCTAAGCGGTAGCCGGGCTAAGCTAACGTCGTCGCAAAGTTACCGACACAGATGATTTTTGACTAATCGTGGTAAATCGATAGTCACACGAAAAAAAAATAATAGAAGCCTCGTTTGGATTTCCTTGCAGGGATCATGGCATCTCATCGCATTGGAGGCATAGTTGACCGAGTTAGCTCACTTAGGCTAATGCTGGCTTGGTTATGAAGATATTAACGCATGTTCAAATATTAGTTTAACCTAGCTTAGCCTAATAATATCCCTAGCATTGGGTGATGGATGTAGCTACATGGCTGCTAATATCTGCAGCTATGGGGTTGGCTCTTACTGACGAATGTAGCTACATGGCTGCTAATATCATTAATGAGGCATTTCACAATCTGCAGCCATGTTGTTTGCTATCACTGCTAGTAAATGTGTGGGTATATTCAATGAAACATGAATGTGAGGACTCTTTAGATCAGACAATAGATCCTGCTCAGGCTCTAACACCTGGGTGACAGCCTAGAGACCCTGTTGGCGCTTCCTGACAAGACAAATGGCATCACAGCAGCAGCCTGTTAATTAGGAGCTGACTGCCTAATGTCCCCTTTGCTTTACTGCGTCAATTGTCTTACATTCGGAGGGGTGGGTTGCCATTATGCACCATAACCACTTCTTGTCCTCCTCAGTTCTGGAAGGCATTGTTCATACTACCATTGACTTGCTGCTCCACTGTGATCTGGACAGTGTGGGACGCCAAGAGAAATACCTACATGTCTCCTCTTCCATGTAGTAGCATATCGTGTATACTAATGTGAGATCTGGGCAGCATGACGGCAGGAATCCTTATGCTTTCAGAATTCAAATATATACAAATGCTGGATGTCGTTGAATTTATTCAATCACTTCATTGCTGTCAAATGTGAGAGGATTGACCGCGCTACTAAGGCCTGTTTTTGTCCTGCATTGAGATTAGCTGGACCCAGTAGAAATTAATTGCCTGTAGCACAGCATATCATAAACAAGCACGGTTAGTTTTAGTGCCAGATTGTCCTCCATCTTGCCACAGACTAACGACACTTCTTTTGAACTACAAGGATGCTTTCCTTGTAACCTGCATTTATTGGCACATAACTGCTTAGAGATGAAGTGTTTGGATTCAAGTTTTTTTTTAACATCCTAGATGATCAACAGGGTGCGGCAAATCATATGCCATGACTACGTGCCTGTTGGGTACTATCCCCGTTTATTTCTGTTCTCCATGGCTTAGGCTTCAGCTGTCTTTTTTCATGGAACATTTACCTGTGGAGAAGGTAGCATAGGTTGTGTTAACTGAAAATGAAAGTGAAATTAAAGACAAATTAACAGTAGCGCACACAAACTCAATTTTCATATTGTGCCTGCTGCTATTTATAAAATCTGACTTGTACAGTCTACAGACAGGGGTTCATTGTGTAGCTATGCTGTGTAATAGCTCACAAGATAAATCTTCAGGATCAGTTTACTTCAGGTTGTCTGGACTGGCATTGCCTATCAAGCACAGACGTAATGTATAGAATTCAACCGGCCTCTGCATTGTTCCATTTCTCGTAGACCTTGACAGCCGGGCTGAATTACAGCCTAGCAGCTGCATGGGTGAAGTAATGTAGATTTGCCTGCAGCAGACATGACGTCCAGATATCAGGTATTATGCTCACCTTCACCCAGAAAAAGGCCCCTCATGGGACTGGTGCTGCGAGCCTGCCTTTCTGCTCTGCTTTGCCAAGTGAAAGCAGTTTTGTATTTAGCGAAAGGTCAGCTGTCATCCCTCCCACTCATCTGTACCCACACATGCTTTCCAGCTAGTCAGGTTTGCTTGTGGCGAGCAGGGCTTTGTGCAGGCGAGACTCGAGGGTATGACCAGGCCAAGGTAAGTTTTAGGTAATTCTTACAAAGTGCAGATAGGATCACATACTGTGTTCTCCTTTGCCTCATTCTTGTGCTGCCAGTCTGGGCTTGTGCTGTGGTAAAATTCCCCTAGATGACAGATGAGACAGTTTTTTTTTTGCCTCAGCCAAATGTTAACCTAAAAGGCTGCGTTGTCTGAGTTCGGTCTGGTTTACAGCCTGGACAGGGCTGAACACGGCCTGCTCTGTGGTCAGGAAGCTCTGGTGATAAGGAATAACAATGGTCTTAGTACAAAATAAAAAAGTCATGCATCACTTATAAGAATTAGGAAATACAGAGTAATAGCTGTGGCCTGTTGTTACATTTCATAAGATATTTATACTTACTGCACTCTTGCACAGAGATGATTAATCAGCATAATCTGCTTCTTTTCTTGCAACTGCTACCCTTTAACACCTAAAAACAAAAGAACCTGAAGTTATTTTATAATCTGCATGTACAGTTTCCAAAATCCATCTGCACATGTTCAATATCATAACTCAGCTCAGTGGAATCTGTGTCCAGGGCAACTTCT